ACCCTAAACCCTGAACCTTAAACCCTAAACCCTAAACCCTAAACCCTAAAGCCTTTCCCCTGAACCCTAAACCCTAAACCCCAAACCCTGAACCCTAAACCCTAAACCCTAAACCCGAATCTCCTTTCTTCCCGGTGGCCGGTGGCGCGGCCAGGCGGACTCCCAGGAGCGGTTTGCCTGGCTTTGCAGCTTCGGCTCCGGGATCCTTGCTGTAATCCCCTGTGCCCCAGAGTAGAGTTAAGGTTTAGGAGTTTAGGGTTTAGGGTTTAGGGTTTAGGATTTAGGGTTCAAGGATACTACAGACTATGCTTCAAATATCGGTCTAGGGCTTTGGGTTCAGGGGCTTCAAGGATCGGGTTCTAGGCAGTTCAAGACATACTAGTCTACTTCTGTCAGCACTACTTGAAGATTCTGCCAGATTCAGGGTCAGTTAGAAGTGGGGTCAGAAGCGGCTTTAAGTGGGCCTCGTATCCGTAATGTTGGGGTCGGAAACATGAGCTAACAGTACTTCTTGCGGGCGAATGTAAGAATAACCGCACAGAAAGATCACTACATCCGAACACGCTTTCTCTGGCTCTTGAGGCCTCGATGCTAAGCCCTATAATCTATAAAAACCAACGAACGACCTTGAAAGCCCTTTTAGGAACCCTCTTCTAGCTATGAAGGCCCCTACATTACCCATATCCTTAACCCTATATCCTAAACCCTCAACCCCAAGCCGTCAGCCCCAAACCCGAACCCAAAACCCTAAACCCTGAACCCTAAAACCCTAAATCCTGAACCCGAAACCCTAAACCCTCAACCCTAAACCCTAAACCCTGAACCCTAAACCCTAAACCCTCAACCCTGAACCCTAAACCCTCAACCCTAGATTACCCCTTGCATTCTGGAGCCTTTCGAAGCTTCTCCTGCTCTTCCCATGCAGCGGCCCAGGCGGCCTCCTCGTGGAGCTGGGACTCTGGGTCTCGGGTTAAGGGCTTAGGGTTTAGGGTTTGGGGTTTGGGGTTTGGGGTTTAGGGTTAAGGGCTTCGGGTTTGGGGTTTAGGGTTTAGGGTTCGGGTTCAAGGTTCAGGGTTTGGGGTTTAGGGTTTAGGGTTCAGGGTTTGGGTTTAGGGTTTAGGGTTTAGAGTTTAGGGGCTAGGACTCAGGTATTTGGGGAAGGGCTTAGGCTAAAGGGTTCAGGGCTTATGTGCAAGGTGTTGTGAGGATTTTATGAGGGCCATATGCGTGCTTTCTGAACAACGAACGGAGTTTTATAAAGAGTTCTCTATGACCAACTCGTAGGGCTTTAGGGTTACATGACTTTTCGACTTCGGGATGTATAGGGTTGAGCTTTCAGAGATCGGGGTTCTAGGCTCTATCAGAAACCCAGTCACAAAATCCCAAACTCACAAATTGTAGGAGCCCCCTTAGTAAGCTTGTAGCAACCCTTAGAGCAACCCGAACCCCCCAAAAGTCCACTGCCCCCAAAGACCAAGCCCGCAGGACCTGAACTTGAAACTCCCCACAACGATACCCCTAAGGGTCCATGTACCCAAATAGTATACACTTTGGCCCTAAAGTAGTCCCTATATAGGTACTTTAAGGGCAATGTGTACATGGACCCTTGGGGTACCATAGCCACACACGCGCACGTGACCGAAGGGTCTTGCAAACTTCTCGGATCCAGGGCTAGAGCAAGGCCTCTGGGGTAGATTCACGTATATATGATAGTAGTATGACAACCCTCAACCCTAAACTCATAGTAGTAGGATGCAGGATTTATGTCGCAATGCCACACGCCTAGGCTACTAAGGTTTTCGTGCACCCAACAAGCACGGCATTTAGGGCTTAGGGCGTATAGGGTTTACTTCAGGCAACCTGTACCAAATCCCCTTACAAGAGAGTCTCTCTGCGTCCAAAACTCAAACCCGCAAACCCTTCAAGAATCCAAGACCCAACCCTAACATCCCAAACCTCCTTGGTCCAAACCTGAAACACCTTAAACCCTAAACCCTAAACCCTACACATGTCGAAACAAATTCATTGGAGAGCCTACTTGTCACCACTTGTCCGGATATCCAACCCCATAGAAACGCGTAAGAGTGGATGAAAACCCAAAACAAACTCTATAGAATCCCAATGCTATAGTAGGAGTTAGGGTTTAGGGTAGAGAAGCATAAATCGTAATCAAACCTCATGCAACCTTCATCAAACTATACGTGCAACAACCCTTAAAGACCCCTCAACCTACAAACCCTTATAAAGTACAAAAACGTTAAGTGTAGGTGCTACAAGGGAGTATATAAACTCTGAGCCCTAGACCAAAACCCTTAACCTCGGCTTGTACAAAACCCCGTAAGATATAAACCCAGAACCCTACACCCTGAACCCGAGCCCTAAACCCCAAACCAAAAACCCGAAA